ACAGAATGTTGTCTGCTTTTCATTCACACAATTTCCGAATGCATTATTAAAATTGCTTATCAAGTAATAAACATTGTTTCAAAATATGAGTGAGGCATATACGAACTTTATTGCACTCCTGACCGCACAATATTTACAGTTACATCTGATCATGTTTACCTGATGAAAATAAGAAAGACCATATGTTGTCTAATCTCACACGAGGTTGCCAGGTGAGGTACGTTGCCAATGAAAACATAGTGCGTTCTGCTTGTTTGATTGATTGATTGATTTTCGATTGAATGGTAATTTCTATAAAATTGATTTTCGCCCCTCTAAGAACAGCCATTTAATCTCCACACGAAAGGCGTAGATTTTATTTACAACTGTTTGACAGTAAGGTCGGGAAATCAGTTCTTGCTATCGCCGCACCCACGCCACAAATGGGTAAAGGTTTACAGGAGTATTCTTCCAAAATATTAACCTCTTTGATAAGAAGAAACTAGTATAAACTCCATTCGCATCACTGAAAAGAGTGCTCATGTCGATCAACAACACAACTTTTTTTCTTCGTCAGCCTGCCTTAAACACATCTACACTTTACTGTGGTACACACAGCTTTGATTTCTATAAAGTGACTATTCCAATTTTGGTGGCAATGGCCATTTTATCACCAGTGGCAGTAGTCGGGAATGGTCTGGTTTTGGCGGCAATTTGGAAGAACCCGTCACTCAGAACACCGTCTTACATTCTGCTGGCTGGCTTGGCGTTGACTGACTTTTGCACTGGGACCATTTCCGAGCCGTTTCTAGTTGCAAATGAATTGGTACACTCTCTTATCAAGCTATCTGGTAGAAACATGAGGCCATCGGTTTACTTTACAATGAGAATTATCGCCGACAGTTGTTTCGAATACTTTTTTAACCTAACACTGTTGATTATGACGCTTATGTCCATTGAACGATGGCTGCATATGAGTCAGCGATCATTGCTAACAGTGCGTCGCCTCCATCGAATTATCGTAGTATTATTTTTTAGTCCAATCCCGTTTGTTGTTTACCGCCTTCAAGAGATCTATGACTTTGCTTATCTATTTACTAATATTTTATTTGTCCTTCTTTGCCTTTTTGTCACTACAGTGGCATACTTTAAGGTTTTCCATATAATTCGTCGCCATCAGCAGCAAATTTGCGTCAACGGATCGTCTCCAAACTTTGCCCAACCAGCGATTAACTTAGCGAAATATAAGAAATCCGTGTTCTCGATCCTTTATATTGTAGTTATATTTTATACAGGATACTTGCCGATGGCTATCACTCAAGGGTTAGGGTTGGTTTTTCATACAAATTGTAGCGTGGTGCTATTGTCTTTTTACGTGTCAACTTTGCTTGTATTTTTATCTTCTTCCCTTAATCCTCTTCTTTATTTGTGGAGAATGACAGATATTCGACAAGAGGTGAGAAAGTTGGTCAAAAGGATATTCAGTAAAGATAACTAGATGAATAAGACTCAACTTACAAGTAGAAATCTAAGTAAAGATTTACTTACTTTTTGCAAGAAATGAGTGTTATTCATGGCTTACTTTTCTGCAGATTAGTATATAAGTTACTTTTTTTACCCGTGGATGCGACGCATCTACGAGTGTGTAGGTGTGCAAATGCATCACTCACTCCTCCAGGGGTTAGCGCACGGCTGTGGGAGTCTGATGAGAGTTTGCAATCATTGAAGATGGCAGACGAATTCTGAGGAGGGATGACATGGGATGGCATCACTGTTAAGTCATTTAATTAGCCTGAAATGATGTCTTGAAGCCGTCACGGCCAAAAGACAAATCGTAAAATGGCTATGCAAACCGCTTCAAAAAGCCACACTTAAAAATGGTTTCCACCGATTGTTCCACAATTGTGGACAATTATGATTTATCGTGGCGAAAGAAACAATATTCAAAACAAATAAAGTACTGCGGGTAAGTTCATTCTCAATTTTGCTTAACTTATACTGGACCCCCTTGATCGGGATATTTGCCCTTCATACCCCAAGGATTTTGTTTTGTGACAGCCTGCTCAGTCATATAATTAGCCTGAAATAATGTCTTTAGGCTGTCAAGGCAAAAGACAGATCGTGTAATGGCTATGTAAAGTGCTGTACAAAGCCACTCTTGATAAAATTTCGCAGCGATGATTTCCGGAAATAAGCAGAATTATGACTTATCCTGACCTTACGTTTGCTTATGTTTTAGCGCGTTATTTTTAGCGAGTTTAAATACGTCCAAATCTTCCTGTTTCTTCCGGTGCTTTTAAAAGTGGGGACACAACTTTTAAAACGTGCAGAATATCTTAATAAGCCGCTTAGACGCTTCTCAAGAACCAGACTCTTCAATAAATTTAACCTGGGTCCCGTTTCCCGAAACCCCCGGAAACTTTTTTGGTCCGCAAAGCCTAACCCTAAAAACAGAGAGGTTTATGCGCCCGAAACTTCTTGTATGAAGGGAACCTCTATTCATATGAAGAATTTGTGAATAAAATGGCAATGTAATCATAAGATTTAAGATTTTGCTATGGCTTTCCGGGTGCGAAAACTTTACGGCATTTGAGAAACGGGCACCTGGTCGCAGAGGCTTTCTCTTTCCTATTTCTCTTAAAAGGAAAAGAAGGGATTCCTAACAGACCAAGGTACATCTATTCATTTGAGGAAAAAATTATTAAAAAAAGCAGAACAAAAATTCAGTTGTTTGAATCTTTATTCCAGTATTGTATCGATCTGCTGACTGCTGAGTGGATGAAATTATTGTAACCTCCACATTGAATAGCAACCTCCCCACTGAAAACTCAATTTTGTTGAACATTTCAATTATCCGTGCACACCGTAGGTGTGTTATTTGTTTAGCGATTTCAAATACGTCAAGATATATCTATTTCACCCTCTGCTTTGAATCGGGTGAGAACAGATGTTTAAGAGGATTTCCGCTGAACTTTCGAGCAATAAAGACAAAAATAAAGTTATTAAAAATCACAAAGGATGGTACTATTTTGAATACAGATTTTAGCTCTCAAGCTGACCCCACGAGAGAAAACTAAAATTTGAAATTATCCACATTTGAATTAAAACAGACCCTTGACGTCAGTTCAAAACAAAATAACCCAAAATTTATGCAGTTTTTACGAGGTTTGACATTACGTTTCTCGAAAATGCTTGACAATTTAATCATGGG